CGGCAGCAGCGACACGATTAGGTCATATAAAGTACTGAAAATTAAAGTTGTTAATGGAGAGTTTTCGTTTATTTAGTTTCAGTAAGATGCCACAGGGGCAACCAATGAAGTCGTGGAGTGTTGGTGCCACTGAGGGAAAGGGTAATATAAGACAAATTTAGGTTCAGTTCAAGTTTTAGTAAGTTGTGCGGCTCTTACAACAAAAGTAGGTCATATTAGTGCCGAAGATTATAAGTGTTACTTGAGAGTAAAATGCAAGGAAAAGGAGGGGGGGGGGGAGATTTGGAAATCTTGCCATTGTAAGATTTACTTTTTACACAGTGCGAGTGTGATGGGTTGGAAAAGGAGGGGGGGGGGGAGATTTGGATGATAGAGGTTTGACAGGAAAGAAGGAGCGTCTGCCAACCACGCACGCACACAAAACTCTTGATACACCGCGACCGACGAGCAAGGCTTTGATAATGAGACAAACAAGCATAGCTTTATACTGTAGTCGAACCTGTCTCCAACAGTAATTCAAAGTCACAGAGAAAAGTGGCCTTTATAGACAGGTGGACCCTTTGGGAAGGGTCTGAATTATTGTCCCTTAAAGGGGGGGGGGGCACCTATTTTTGGTCAATCTGGGTCAAATTGGGTATTACAATATTTTTTGCCTTTTCTCAGTCATTTCTCTGTTGATTTGATTGTCCTTTGGCACAATTGTAGCTAGTTGGATGCCCAACATTTTTTCTTCTTACATTGTTATTCTATTTTCACTAATTAGAGAGGTATCTCATTTTTTGTCAAAAATATTTGATCTTTTAATTTTTGACACATTTTTCGAAACTCCTCTGAAGATTACAGGTGTATCTCGATGGCACTTGGCATACTTGTTGCCCTTAGGGGTGGTTGCATTACATAGTCAGCGTTTTTTTATATCTATCTTGGTTTTCATTTTATGATTTAAAAAATTTGGAAAATTGACCGTTTTCTGCATTTTTGACAAGATTTGCACGCTTCTTCCTGTAACTCCGAAACGAAATAAGATATCGAAAGATACTGACTATGTTTAACTTATATGCCTCATAGGTACATGTGTGCCAAAGGACAATAAAATCCATCGGTAAATTTCAGAGGAGTATTGATTTGAAAACATGATGTGAAAATCCAATATGGCCGCCATCTTGGATCCGGGAAAAAAAATTTTCATCGTAATACCTGTACCATGACGAAGTTGTATGCCAAATTTAAGGTTTCTAGGTCCAGAAATAAAGGAGTTAGCTCGCTTGTGTGACCCCCCCCCCCTCCCCCTTAACAGAGGCAAGGTCTAAATTATTATCCTGTAACAGACTTGACAAAGACAACAGGTGGTTTAAAATCTGAAATCATAATTTCATATTT